TGGTGATTTTGACGTGAGAAACGAAGAGCGTGGGAAACCACCGAAAAAGTTCGCAGACAACGAATTGCAAGCCTTATTGGATGAAGATGATACTCAAACTCAACAAGAACTCGAGGTTGAATTGAATGTGACGCAGAAAGCTGTCTCAATTCGTTTGAAAGCCATGGGAAAGATTCAGAAAGTGGGAAAATGGGTTCGGCATGAACTGAATGAAAGACAGCAAGAAAATCGAAAAACCACTTGTGAAATGCTGCTCGACAGATACAAAAGAAAGTCCATCGTATCATGACAGGTGATGAAAAATGGATATATTTTGAGAATCCTAAGCGTCAGAAATCATGGGTGAATCCAGGCGAACTATCGACATCCACTGCAATCGCTTTGGAAAGAAGACAATGCTCTGTGTTTGGTGGGATCAGAAGGGTGTAATCTATTATGAGCTGTTAAAACCTGGTGAAACCGTTAACACTGACCGCTACCAACAGCAAATGATCGATTTAAATCGAGCATTGCGTGAAAAACGACCGGAATATGGAAAAAGGCAACACAAAGTCATTTTGCTCCATGATAATACCCCGTCACACACAGCAAAACGGGTCAGAGAAACGATCGAGGCGTTTAGTTGGGAAATACTAACGCATGCGGCTTATTCTCCAGACTTGGCTCCGTCGGATTATTATCTATTCGCATCAATGGGACACGCTCTCGCTGAACAACGCTTCAATTCGTATGAAAATGTACGAAAATGGCTCGATAGCTGGTTCGCTTTAAAAGAAGAAATGTTTTTTGGCGTTGCATTCATAAACTGCCGGAGAGGTGGGAAAAATGTATAAATAGCAATGGACATTATTTTGAATAAAATATTTTTTATCATTTTCAAACAACAGAAGTGTAATTTTTACAAAAAAATTTCAGTTTCATATTTCTACACCTGGTAGTAATATTACATTTATGAAGCCGATCTCTCGCTCCCAAGCATTGTTCGCGCCATGCTCGGAAACGAGAAGAACTGGTTGGTGGTTTCCTTTTGCGAAGAACTTCTGACGTAGAAGAAGGAGGCCGGAAAAATCCGGCCTTCTTCTACGGAGAAAGAAATTTCCTCTGTCTGAACAGGATGGCGAGGGAGGAGTAGCTTATTATGGCGGTGCATCTCACGTCGGAAGCTTCCTCTTTCTGTCCACAAAAGGGGCATCGAATGAGGCCCCAGTAGGGACGGAGTTAACTAGGAGGAAGGATATTCTCTTCCTACTACCCTGCTTCTACCCCGACTGCCTTTCGGGAAATTCGGAGCGCGACCTGAAAGGAGGAGCAACTATACTCTTCTTTCCCGGGTCAACGATGCAAGGTTTGTTGAGGCGCGCGCGCTAGAAGCCCATGCAAAGAATCGCGCGTGTGTCTCTAGACCAAGGGAGTAGAAGTCCGGGCAGGGAATACTGGACTTCAATTCTTGCCTTCATGAGAGGGACACGACAGAGTGTGTGGTTTATATCCTATTGCAAAAAGTTATGTCAGCCGGGGAACTAACGAAACCCTGGCGAAAAATCAATAAGAAAAGGTGAGACACTTGGGAAGGATATTACTATCGATAATGATATTTCCATCGAAATCCTGGACCGTCCCGATTAAATCGCAGAGGAACGACACTTGGGGGGAGGGGTTAATCAGTAAGAGTTCAGCATACTCCTTAGAGCTTCCTCGAGTTTCAAAAAAATCCATGAGGATTTTCTTTCCTGGAAAGTGACACAAAAGGTGTACAGAGTGTCCCAATTTAACTTAGACGCCAAAATTTCTCGAAAACGATGCGTTTTCTAAGAAAAAAATGTATCAAATATAAGTTGTAGGGTCTGAAAAAGGCCATCAGATAAGCTCAGATTTGGTTTCGAGACTCACTTTGGACCTAATAAAGTTTAAGTTGTTTTTCTTCGGCGGGAATATCTTTATTTTATTACAAATTTGTATTCTATAGAAAAAAATAAGAAAATTTTGCTCCTGGTAAATTCTGCTCCTGGTTTTCGATAAACTTTGTCTAACAGGCGCAAAATAGTGCTCAAAGTTCTTATTATGAAACACTTGACGATCAATGAAAACAAATCCAACGGACGATTCGGCCAACGAAGATAAGATCAAGGAATGATCCAGCCAATGAAAGCAAGACTAGGGGACGATACGGCCAGTGAGGGCAAGATAAGGGAATAGTGTAGCCAGTGACGATGAATAATGGATTATGGACTATTTGATCTAATCTTTGCCATTACATCATTCTGTCTGTATCAAATATTCAAAATGTCCATATATTCTTTAACCCTTTGAAGCACAAATTTTTCCTTCTGTTTATTTTTTATCAAATTTGGTATCTGGGGATTTTTAAGGTCGCTAATCACAAATCTGGGATTGAAATTGAAAAATTTTTTAAATCTAATTTGGCGGATCCAATATGAAGGACCAAAATTGCAACGAACCAATCAAATCACTTCAAATTTGATATTCTAGAGTTTTTGGGATTGCTGATTACGAATCTTGAGTCAAAATAGAAAATTTGCCAAAATTCAAAATGGCGAATCGAACATGGCCGGCTATAATTGCAGAAAATTTAGAAAATTAATTCAAATTTAGTATTTTTAAGTTTTTGAGACTGATAACGAATTCAAAGTTAAAATTAGAAAATTGTCGAAATCAAAGATGGCGGATTCAATATAACGAGCCAAAATTGCAGCAGGTAATTACATAACTGGAGGTATTCGTAGTCTCTATCTTGGATAAAAGATCAGATATTATTGATTACTTATCTAATAATGCGTAATCCATTCTCGCTTTTAGCGTTAGTTAGTCGTTTTCGCAATATCACATTTCATAATTTGTACTTGGAAGCTTTAAAAGTCATAGACACTGAGTATTTGCATATTTAATCCACTATTTTGTATTCAACATTTTGAATTTTATAATTTAATTTCGACCACAGATTCGCAATTAGCGACCCGAAAACTCTCGTTTGGATACCACTTTTGAAGAGAATTGCTTGATTTTCTGCATTTCAATCCATCATATTAGACATTTTGAAATTTGAAAATTTTCTAATTCTGACATCAGATTCGTAATCAGCCACCTGAAAAAACCCTGTATATAAGTTTTAACATCTAAATTTGGAAACGTCGTTGAAAAATGTATTTTCTCTGAAAAACAGGCATTTTTTTAACTTGGTTATTTTTAACACTTGCAACAAAGTGTATTTTGACGACTTTTTTTACATTCTCTGTGACGATGCAAATTTTTGCTCATCAATCAGGTCTGTGGTCTGACCGAGGATGACCGAGGATGAGCCGGAAACTCGCGCCTTTTCGTAGGAGAAAGAGACCGAATTTAGTAATTTTGTCTCATGCGCCGCTTGGCTCACGAGACGCGACCCGCGGCTATTATTATTTTTGATAAGCGTAAGGTCACCCACGATGAGCCAGTGCATCGGACGTAAGGAGATTGGAGAAATCGGAGCCTGGAGGAACCAGGCGCGAACGAGAGCGAGGAGCGACTAGAGCAGCGTGCGGAAGGGCGCGGGAAATCTTTGTTTCCCGGGCGAACAGCTGGCGACGAACAGCGGGGATGGCCACCTTGCGCTAAGAAAGGCGTAAGGCTTCGCGACTTGATCGCAGATTATGCGAGGGAGGACCCCGGGGGAAATCTTTCGAACTGCGAGCCCAATAGTTGCCGAATGTCGTCCCGAGAGGAACAAGCGCAAGCTAAGCGTCGAATAGAGGACTCTAGACGCGAAGCTCTCGCGAGCATCTGTGATAAGTGTGATCCAGCCGGGAGAATCAATAGGATGCCGTATCGATCGGCGCGACAGATCCTTGGCAACGGCTGTCTCCTGCGCTAATTGACGAGTCCTGCTCGTCACTGTGCGGCCCAACGGCGAGCGCTACGGATGTCCCGGAGCGAGAACGAGCGAGCGAAGCTGCCGAAATAACGGGACAACTTGCTGAGAAGAAACGAGCTTGAGGCGGCGAGTGGGTGAGAGAGAGAAACATTATACATCCGCGAGACTCGGTTGCCTTCTCTAGTTACCGGTTGCACAGTTCTCAGATATTATTTGTCGATATTGCATATATTTTATTAGGAGCCACATTATTGAATATCATATTTTTTGGAAAACTGCTTCTGGCGAACGAGCTAAATCAGGTATTGTACGTGATCGGCCAGAAAGCAGTAATTACTATTGGGAAAAGCTCAGCTGGCGCCCATTGGGAAACCCAGTGAGATTCGCATAACGAAACCAGGCAAGAGAGCTTTTCTTGGTAACATGACGCGCGTTATCATAGCTGCCGTCAAGCGGCTTAAATCCGCCGCATAAAGAATCTCGTACAACATCTCGGACGAGCCCTCGCTCTTAAGAATGTTGCTTCGTCGCTGAAACAAACACTCCAAAAAAATATTAATGGCGTTACGGGATCCCCCGTGATATTGATTAGTTGCATGTAATTGAAGGTCATCAGGCGAATTAAAGAATTGTTATTTACATGTTAAATCTGTTTTTGAATTAGTATCTCTCCCGACTACTCCCCGAATTGTCCGCGAGTATCGAGGAAGAAGGTGAAAAAATCACGACGTTCTACCACGCGGGTTAGCGAAGGAATAGATTCGTTATCGCAAAAATAAAAACTAAGTTACCCGAGTTGGGTCCGCTGCCGCGAGAGCGGGAGCGAAGAAGTCCTGCAACTGCGCAGACAATCATATAACGTTGCAAAAGCGTTGCATCACCTATTTCTAAGATACTAAAAAAATTAAAAAAAAGTCCAAATATAGCAATGAAAGTTTTATCGACAAAAATCTGAAAGAAAAAAGGTAGAAAGTATTTTTTTCTACTGTCCTTCTGAGGGTTAAATCAGTTGAGTCTGCGTCTAAAATTTTGTATAATTGATCTGATTGTGTTATCGCTTGACAGGCTAGGTTGATTCTATTTATTATCTAATCCTGTGGTTGGTTCATTTTCGTATACAGCATTCTTCACGTGCTCCCAGTAAAAATCAAGAAGATTCAAGTCTGGTGATCTCGGAGGAGACCACAAACTGGCCTTTCTCAGCTTATCCAACGATTTGGGAATTCCGCATCTAGGAATCTTCTGATATCTCGAGCGAAATGTGCAGGGCATCATTTTACTGAAACTAAAATCTTTGACGAATATTTAGCAGAATATTCTTGAAGTATCCTAGTAAATGGTTCTGAAGAAAATCTAAATAAATTGGACCGTTAATAGTACATTCGAAAAATGCGGTCCGATAATCTGGCCATTAAATATTCCAATCCAAATATGGAGGCTCCAATAATTGATTGAGCACTTGTCGGGATCAATAAGGATTTACTGGTGAGTAATAACGATAATTGTGTCTATTGAGACATATACGAGGTCTGTTCAAAAAGTATCGCGAATTTTGTGTTTTTTCAAAAATTATTTATTTATTCATGAATATCTATTTTGTCTCCTTCAAAGTAATCCCCATCAGATATTATACACTTGTGCCAACGTTTCTTCCAATCCTCGAAGCACTTCAACAAATCATTTTTTGTGATCTTGCTTAGCTCCTCCTTCGATGCCGTCTTTATCTCCTCATTCGTAGCGTAGCGTCGTCCTTTCATGTGCCTCTTCAGTTTCGGGAACAAGAAAAAGTCACAGGGGGCCAGGTCTGGGGAATACGGTGGCTGCGGCATCATTAGTGTGTTGTTTTTGGCCAAAAATTCGCGCACAAGCAAAATTCGCGCACAAGCAATTTTGGTACGAATTTCGCGGCGACCCGTCTCATGCCCAAATCATTAGTAAAAATCGAATGGCACGAGCCAATCGATATGTTTAGGTCCTCAGCAACTTCTCTAACGGTGATTCGACGATTGGCCAATACTATTTTCTTCACTTCATCAATGTTTTCGTCTGTTGTTGACGTGCTCGGGCGTCCGGCACGCTCTTCGTCGTTCACATCTTCTCGGCCCTCTGAGAACATTTTGTACCACCGATAAACGTTGCTTCGGTCCAAGGTAGCTTCACCATATGCCACAGTCAACATTCGGAATGCGTCCGCGCACTTAATTTTGTTAGATTCTTTGATCCATTTTTTGGAATAGGCAAAAATCGAAGACGAGCCATAACACGTCCAAACAAAACAGCTGTCAAAGATAAACTGAATATTCAAAATGGCCGAACTTGTCGGCATAAGTGAGGGACATGAGTACCAACATAACGCCACAAAAAAATCGAAAATCGAATATACGTAACCCGCGGAAATTCAAAATTCGCGATACTTTTTGAACAGACCTCGTATGCTTAAGAATGTTGCTTCGTCGCTGAAACAAACATTCCAAAAAAAATCCGGTTTCCGTTCCAATGTGTCGAATGCCCATCTATATAATCGAGCTCTTAGCACGTATCTATCTTCGCTTAATTCTTGTACAAGATTCACGTGATAAGGACGATATTGAACAGATTGTAATATCTAATTAATCATAGATCGAGGAATTCCTAGTACTCGTTCCATTTGACGAGTGCTGATGGATTCAAATGGACCATGTTTAATGGATTCTGAGAAGTCTAGGATTGTTACGGTTTTGAAGCGTATTTCTTTGTCTTTGGTAATGTAATACGTTTGTACGAAATCTTTTTTCGATATTTACGAGGGTGAATCAAATATAAACCGGAATTATTTTTGTACCCGCAGTGAGACGAACGGAAAGAGGCCAGGCTTCTGAGCGTTATAGGTGAGGATGCCTGAAGGAGATTCCCCCCTACGCGACCTCTCATTAGCGCTCCGTTAATCAGTATCACAATATCAGAGCGGGAGGTGCCCTCGTCCGTTGCACAACGAATTATTATTAAATTTCTCACTGCAGAAGGCGTAAAGCCGGCGGACATATTGAGAAGGCTTGAAGCACAGTTCGGGGACAATACGCTTAAGAAGACTCAAGTGTACGAGTGGCACAAACAATTTTTAGAAGGACGGGAAACTGTTGAAAATGAGGGGCACCGACGTCGCCTGAGGACCAGCGTGACAAAGGAGAATATTCGTCTAGTTAGCAGCCTTATCGAGGGTGACTGTCGCTGAAATTGCTTCTGAGGTCGGAATAAGCTTCGGCAGTACTCAGGCAATCATTACTGACGACCTTGGGTTTCGAAAAGTGTCCGCTAGATGGGTCCTTCGTCTTCTCACCGAAAATCAGAAACGGCACTGTTTGGAGGTGCGCCATACAGCTGCCTTAACTCGTTAAAAAATGGAAGAACTGGTCTGGACTACACTGGAACATCCTCCCTACAGTCCGGACTTATCGCCCTGCGATTATCATTTGTTTGGACCATTGAAAGAAGCACTTGGAGGACAAAGATTTGACAACGATGCTTCTGTCGAATCCTTCGTGAGCGATTGGCTGCTGTCACAGCCGCCTTCATTTTATGATAACGGAATTAAAAAACTGGTTACCCGTTTGGAAAAATGTGTTTCGAAGTCCGGGGATTATGTAGAAAAATAGTTATGTATGTTAATTTTTTTATGATGTTTTAATTAAACAAAAAAAATAATTCCGGTTTATATTTGATTCACCATCGTATTATTTCCTATGCACTGCCGGCAATTAGGATATCGCATAAGACATAAAAGTCGTCTATAATTCCTATTACTCACCTAGAGTAATCAGAATGTCATTTGGTTTATTATTCGCCAAGTAGAAAAATTTAACTTTTCAAGTAGAATGTGCACTATATCATTTGGTTTATTATTCGCTAAGTAGAAAAATTTTACTTTTCAAATAGAAAAATTTAACCCGGATTCGAAAATATCAAACTATTATTGATCAAGTGATTATTACAAAATTAATGCTATGACAGATTTACCCAGAGAAAACTTGGTAATAGAATGTTACTATTCTCTTCCTTTCTTAAAAAAATAAAATAGCGGATAACAGATATGCAGGAGTAACAGGATTGAGTTTTGATAGATGGTTAAAAGAAATAAAAAGTTTTTATGAATATCATCTACAATATTTTAACATGTGTTCTATAATGATATGTGAATAGAACATTCGCATATTTATATTATTGGGTCTATACATAATTCCGTAGCGAAAATCGAATAAATTTCAAACGCAAAATATTTAACAAAAAAAGCGATTTTAATCAAGTAAATATGTTATATTTTGTTCAATGATTTTCTGCCATCTCTCCACGAGCTTTATTATCCTTCTTTCATAGAAGTCCTAAGATTTTTTGGCAAAGAAGTCATCCAAATGGTTTTTGAGGACGTCCAGGGAACTGAAGGTTTTGTTATTCAAATTGTTCTGCAGTGCCCGGAACAAGTGATAGTCTGAAGGTGCAAGGTCCGGACTATACGATGGATGCACCAAAACATCCCATCTAAGTCGCATTAACTTTTGCCAAGTTATCAGAGAAACGTGTGGTCTAGCGTTGTCGCCTAGTGGAACACAACGCTCTTTCTGTTCGCCGCTTTGGGCCGCTTCTGATTAATTGTTCGCTTTAATTTGGTCAATTGTGAGTACTTGGTCGAATTAATCGTTTTGTTGGGTGGCAGCACCTCACAATAGATGATTCTTTTCCCATTCCACTAGATACTAAGCATGACCTTCTTCGGGTGTAATCCAGCCTTTGCGACTGTCTGAGCAGCGTCCCCGCACTTTAACCATGATCTTTTTCGACTGACATTGTTGCAGACAATCCACTTTTCATCGCCAGTGATCATTCGCTTTAAAAATGGTTCGTTTTGAGCAGCGAATCGCAAGCTGAAATTCGGTCCATTACATTGTTTTCGCTCAGTTTGTGCAGCAACCAAACATCAAGCTTGTTTACCATCCCAAGCTTCCGTAAATGTCTCGAAACAGTTGATTGGTCATTGTTGAGGTTATATCCGATCTCTGTAGTCATCAAATGCCGGTCGGAGTCGCCGGATTAAAACCTTGATTTGATCGACATTAGTAATGACTGGCTGACCAGAGCGAGGAGCATCTTGGAGATTAAAATCTCCGCAACGAAATTTCGCAAACCACTTCCGACACACACTTTCGCTTACAACATTCTCTCCGTACATAGCACATATCTTTTTGTGAGTTTGCAACGCATTTTTGCCTTTTCGAAAATAAAAAAGCGAATACACCGAAAATATATGTTTTTTCCTTCCATGTTCAAAATAAAATTAAACTTCGATACGTCATGGATCTCGATGAATATTTTCTTAAAATGTCGGCACAAATTTAAGCTTTCGCTTGATGTACGACACTTCATATGTTTGATATATGTGCGAGCGAACAAACAATTGCGAACGACATCTGTCAGAATTTCGCTACGGAATTATGCATAAACCTAACAGTTATGAGTGTTATTAACGGCGGAGAAATAAAATTATCTTTTAGAGATAATTCCCTGAATATTCTTCCCGAAAACATATCCAAGTTGATCGTTTGCTGATCTTGCCACCGTTAGTCGGAATGTGTTTCAAAATTAGAAATTTGAGCACTATTCTGAAGCATCTGTTGGAGGAAGTTTAGCGAAAAATTATCAGGAACAAAATTTTTTTATTTTTTTCATTATAACAGTTTTGTAACAGCATTGTTTTTTCATTGTGAGATATCTTCCCGTTGTGCTTGGACGTGGCTCGTTGGAGCCAGGGTTTAGTAGAGGGAGAGATGCGGCAGGAGTAGAAGAGAAAGAGAGTGAGAGATACAATTATCTGGCAGATACTCACGTATATTTTTGTGATTATTTACAATATTTACAAGGTGGCGCGAATGGGGTTATGTACAATCGTTTAGTGAGCGTCGTGTATGGAGGCGGTTACCTCTAAGTCCTTGTGCGTGCGGACGGGATGGCTCTCGACGCCGGTCGGTCCGGAAGTTCTGGTGGCGCGTCGGCAGGCCACGGGCGCAGCCGCACTTCCGTTGGCTGGAATCCTTCTGCAATGACTCTCGGTTTGGTCGTGACCCTGCCGGTTCTGCTTTCGCTAATGAGACCTTACTGTTGGTTGCTGATCTACTTTGGCCTGGCCTCGGAGCTAACTGAATTGCTCTAAACGGTGGGCGACTCTCTCCTCAAGAATCTTGCACAGGCTCTTGTAGTCGTCGGTGAATGGGTTTGCTCGTGAGAATGGACTTGCCCTGGTGCCGCCCAGTTCGGTGCGGACTACTCGAAGAGTAGTGGTGCAATGACAGTGGGTATTTCCTTGCTGGAACAGTGGATCACCGATACCGGTTGGTCTACTCTCGTCGGTGGAGCTAGCTTCCGTCCCCAGTCGTCTGCCCGGTGTTCTGCGTGTGGCTTACTCTTTCAAGTTCGCCGGAGAACGATTGACTGCTTGGCGTGCTGCGCAGCGTACTAATAGCCATCGCGCAGCGATCTTGTCTGTGAGCGAGTGAAATCGTGCGTATGCCGTTTAGCGCCGCTCCGACGTTACCACTCGCGGATGTCTTTACGGTAACATCGTTCTCGAGTGAACGGAGCCGCCTATACGCCGCCTTGCAGCGCCTTTGCGACACTACCGCGCGGGATCACATGCACGGAGACGTGGGGTCATGGCGAGTAGTTGCGCGCTTTCCGGCCTATAGTGTTGGCCAAGTAATAAGGGCCCTCAGGCACCTCGTTACATCATGGAATACGAACTTGCAATAGAACATATGCATTTCATTGAATAAAATTAACTTGGGCCTTATTGGGCCCAAAGTGAGCCCCAGATCCAAAATCTAAGTTCATCTAATGGTTCTCTTCAAGCCAAGTTGTTGCAAGTGGTTTTCTACATTCGATTTCGATATTTGGAGAATGTCTGCAATCTTCCACGTCGTGTGGCGTGGATTGGTGTCGATTAAAACTTTCACTTTGTCATTGTCGATCTCGAGTGGCCAGCCATGGTGCGTCTTGAACAGAAAAATCTCTGGAACGAAATTTCTCAAATCACTTCTGGTACGCGTTCTTTTACGGCATTTTCGCTATATACTGTGTGATATGGCAGCCATATGGGTGCCCGTTACAAGGGGCGAGTGTCTCCGAGAGAATTAAAGTTGGAGGTTTAGGGTCTGATAAGCGGAGGGCAGATTGCCGTGATTTAGTTTTGTTTACGAGATCGTACACGGTAGTGCACGGTCGAACCTTGTGATGACCCCGTGATCCCGTGTGTGTGATTCCGAGCTCCGACAGCTACGAGAAGAAAAGACATAGCGCGTGAAAGAGAAATATGGAATTACGAACCCCGGAGAGGAGCGATGGAGCGCCGACAGGAGTAGCTGGAAACAGAACACATGGTGAGTCCCTCCGTAAGTATTTTTAGAAGGCTGCCAAATGAAAGCCGAAACCTACCTTGCGCTTAATTATAGTTGCCGAAGGAACAGAAGACGATGATGCCGCAGTCCCGAAGATGGCAAGTGTACCAGAAGGAGAACCGCTACCGGGTAGACTCGCGAGGTACAGACGAGAAGGTGAGTAGTAAGCGAAAGCTAATGAGAGGAACGAATAAAGTTCCGAAAAGCTCCGGAAATTGCCGAAGAAGAGGGGCCCCGGTGTATCTGCGAATTGCGCACTTCGGGACTTCACTTTATTGGTGGCACGCGCCTTGATTACAGCTACGACATTAGCGAGAGTGAGCGAGCAATCAGACGATCCAGAAGAGATAGAGAAAGAGAGATACAAAGGCAAGACGTAGTAAGCGACCCAGAGGAAGCATCACCGGAGCAACAATCACATAAGGTCACTAATAATTCACATCTAATTTTGTAGAAAGTAACATCTGGCGCGATGGAAGGAGAAAATTCGGGGCTGGTTGCTAGGAACGACCGACAGATATCCCTTTGGTGGATAATGTGAGTAATTAACGACGGATATCGGATCGAGATGCCGCAGCCCTGGACGGGGAAATCTCCATCGAAATCGGACGCATTAGAGTTATCGAATCGCGTTTCCGCTATCGGGTTACCGGTGAAAGAATTCGCGAAGTAAGAGCTATCGGGGAAATCAGCGAGGCGGGCTGGCATGGCGGAGCGATCGTGGCTTCCCTAATCTTTCCCTAATCTTGGTGTCAATATTTTGCGACTTGCAAAACTATATTTGCGGAGGAAAGTCTCGAGGCTGCCGCTGGAGCCGTGCTCCCGATCATCCACGCGCCTACAGTGCGACTAACAAGGGACATTCGGCAATGCGTAAATTTAAAAAAATTTGTAATTTTTTAGAATTATAGCAGACAAACCGAATAACTAGACAATTTTTCGTTGATGCCCAATATCGGTTTTAACCCCTTAACCTACAACTACGGGCATAGCCCGTAGTAGATGATTGGGCCAAACGTGAATATTACGGGCATAGCAAGTAGTAGATGATCGGCCCAAACGTAAATATTACGGGCATAGCCCGTAGTAGATGATCGGGATTTGTAGAATATTTGGTAAGAGATGTAATAATTGTGGTAGATGCAAGGCCCGAAATTTTCGAATCTAAATCGTAGGTTAAGGGGTTAAGGATGAAATAAATCCCTTGAAGGAAAAACAGTACTTAGATTTTTAAGTGAATATTATCTAAACTATTAGAAATATAAAAAAATTTTTTAACCAAAGTTTCATAGTTTCGATATTACTTTATGGTAACATTCTGAGATTTTTCGAAAAGTTCATATTTTCGAAATACTGCCAAGTGTTGCGGATCGAGTGAGGCTCGAACGCCGTATTGCAGTGCGTCAGGCGAGGTAGGTGCGCCGGACTCTCTCCGCCGAAGCTAGTGGCGCGCCGCCTGGGTGGTCCGCCCACGAACAAGTTATATAGGAGCGAGCGGGGAAATCGCTTTCGTGTCATAGCGCTCGGATCGACAGAGCAGTGAGCATATGCCTTGCACGCATTTTCGATTCTGTGTTTTGGATATTGTAAGGTTGCTTGGTGATGGTAACCCTTTAGTGCCTTCCTGGTGCCGGAACCTCGTTCCGCACTCGTGGCCGTGCGCGCCACA